TACCTCTCACTGTGTCACCCCAATCCCTGGCTCTTACAGATGCGACCTAAAGTCATGTGGCACCTCCTTCGAAGGTACATGGCATCCCGGCTCCATTCCCTGCGGATGGGTGGCTACTTGTTCTCTGGCTCCCAGGCCCCCCAGTTGTCCCCTGCTCTGTTGAGAGCCCTGGGCCAGAAATGCCCCAACCTGAAGCGCCTCTGCCTACACGTGGCCGACCTGAGCATGGTGCCCATCACCAGCCTGCCCAGCACCCTGAGGACCCTGGAGCTGCACAGCTGCGAGATCTCTATGGCTTGGCTCCACAAGCAGCAGGACCCCACCGTGCTGCCCCTGCTCGAATGCATCGTGCTGGACCGCGTCCCCGCCTTCCGCGACGAGCACCTGCAGGGCCTGACGCGCTTCCGGGCCTTGCGCTCGCTGGTGCTGGGTGGCACCTACCGTGTGACCGAGACAGGGCTGGATGCTGGCCTGCAGGAGCTCAGCTATCTGCAGAGGCTCGAGGTGCTGGGCTGCACCCTGTCTGCTGACAGCACCCTGCTGGCTATCAGCCGCCACCTCCGAGATGTGCGCAAGATCCGGCTGACCGTGAGGGGCCTCTCTGCCCCTGGCCTGGCTGTCCTGGAGGGAATGCCGGCCTTGGAGAGTCTGTGCCTGCAGGGTCCCCTCATCACCCCGGAAATGCCCTCCCCCACTGAAATCCTCTCCTCCTGCCTCACTATGCCCAAGCTCAGAGTCCTTGAGCTGCAGGGGCTGGGCTGGGAGGGTCAGGAGGCGGAGAAGATCCTGTGTAAGGGGCTGCCCCACTGTATGGTCATTGTCAGGGCCTGCCCCAAAGAGTCTATGGACTGGTGGATGTAACTACTCCACCTGTCCCTGGGAGCCATTCTAGCTTTCATCGTTGAGCCCCAGACCCTCTGAGCAGCACTTTGAAGAGGGTAGATAATCAGACTTGAGGAAATTGAAAGCCCCAGGTTGACAGAACAGAGGCCTAGGGACCTCCAGACCATTGGAATCACTGTTTGCCAACTGTGTGGCCTTGGTCATATCATCAACCTCTGGGAAGCCTAGTTCCCACATCTGGAAATAAGGATGATCATAGCTACCTCATGGTTACATTGCAAAGCCTTACTCAAAAAGCTCCCAGCCTCCAGAGGCTCTCGATGAAGAGTCACCTTCACGGTCGTCCTCAGGAACAGGACGGATGAAGAAGGGGTGAGGTTAAGACTTAGGGGCACCCGAGGGGCTGAGCCCCCTTATGAGTACCCAAGAAGGACTGTCTATGCATGCACACCCACAAGCCTATATCCCATTTGTATACCTACACGCACGCAAGAGACGCGGAGAGATAGGCAACGCAGACTCGCTATTCAATGATTGATATGCTCATAAAAGCTCTCAATTCTATTTTCTGTATTTTGTATGCTGTATTTTCCAAGACATATTATTTTGCTATTAAAGAAAAAAATCATTTTTTTTTCCCCAAGAAGTATTCACTTTATTCATTCAACCAATGTGTCTTGAGCTTCTACTATTTTGCAGGCACTATTTTAGGTTCTGGGAAACTGGGCCACAACAATGAACAAAACTGACAAGACCCTGCCCTCATAGATCTCATAGAGGAGAAGACAGGACAACAAACAGGTAAACCAATCCATGTTTTAATTTTTTTGGGCAGGGACAGAGTCTCACTCTGTCACTCAGGCTGGAGTGCAATGGTGCGATCTCGGCTCACTGCACCCTCCACCTCCTGGGTTCAAGTGATTCTCCTGCCTCAGCCTCCCGAGTAGCTGGGATTACAGGCGCCTGCCACTATGCCTAGATAATTTTTTGTATTTTTAGTAGAGATGGGGTTTCACCATGTTGGTCAGGCTGATCTCAAACTCCTGACCTCATGATCTGCCTGCCTTGGCCTCTCAAAGTGCTGGCATTACAGGTGTGAGCCACTGCGCCTGGCCACCATGTTGTAATTTTGGAGACTCTGAGCCAATACACCAGGGTCATGTAATGGAACCACACTTGCATGGTTAAGTGAGCAGGGCAGGCCTCTGTGCTGAGATCTGAGAGGTGAAGAGAAAGCAAAAGTCAGAAGAGCTAGGGGAAAAGAGGGAAGGCCAGCACAGCTGAGAATGAACTTGGCATTTTCCAGAAACGGAAAGCAGCTTGTGTGGCAGAATGA